ATTTTTACTTCTGTTACAAGATTAGAAGTTAGTTTATTATATGTTGAAGGAATACAAGATAATAATGGGTTGAAATCACACTCGTTTCTCTCTCTTTCGCATCACTCGTTAGTCTTTCTGATCGCGACTGCCAAATTTCGCGTTATTCGTGGACTCACACCTCTGAGGAGAGGGTTTTCCCCACCGACGGCTCACGGCTAGCTATTCCGGTATCGTCCGTTATCGATTGTCTCACTTCTGTCATTTTTTTTAAAGAAATGAAGGTCACTTTCATTTTTTTAAATAGAATCACTCTTCTTGAAATACCTACTATGATAGTCCCTTCCATTAGGAACTCAGTGACTGTAATTATTCAAGGTCATTCAATGCCATTCAAGGTCACAGTCGGAGAAAATGGTATAAGATGTAAAATGTGAAACCAGAATACTTGTATTTCACAAATGTTCAAAAGGATGGCCATTTACGTCGACATATTGCTGTAAACGGGCTCTGAAGGAATGTTGAACTCTGACAAGTACATCCGAGGTGATATTCGCGCATGCTGTGATGATCCGCTGATGCATATCTTCAACTGTTCTTGGAGCATTTGCGTATGTGGTTTCTTTTAGCAGACCCCGCAAAAAGAAATCTAGTGTATTTAAGTCAGGCGAACATGCTGGCCATGAAACAGTACTACCTCGTCCAATCCATCGCGCATCGGTTTGAAAACCTAGAATCCAATGTTTCTCTTGCTACTCGTGCAAAATGGGCCGGACAGCCATCATGTTGGTACCACATATTGTAACGGTTTTGTGGCGGGACATCTTCCAACAAAATTGGCAGATCTTGCAAAAATTGAGAATATTTTTGCCCTGTCATCGTTCCGGTAATGAAGTATGATCCGATTACTTTATCGTTCAAAATACCACACCACACGTTTACGCTTCATTGTCTGGTGATCAACTTCTTGAAACCAGTGCGGATTATCACCAGATCAATAATGGGCGTTCCGTAGATTAATTGATCCATGATTATTAATTGTTGTTTCTTCCGTAAACAAGACATTAGAAAAGAATGAACCATTTTGATGTAATTCTCATTAACAAAAATTAATTCGATATTGAATTACCTTGAATAATTATAGTCACTGAATTTCTAATGAAAGGGACTATCATTGTAGGTGTTTCAAAAAGGGTGATTCTATTTTTAAAAATGAAGGTGACCTTGATTTCTTTGAAAAATGACATAGAAATAAAAATATTTTTGGCATCGTGTGAGCTTCATTGTACCATTCAATTTTGTCCTCAAGACATTGGACGTATCTTTAAAAATAACAGATATTTGAGGTGCAAATGTTAGGTGACTCATCCTGTATATTATATTATGCCTACATCTGAATCAGAGTCAGTATTCGTATCTGATTGAAGACGCGATTCATCTATTATTATACAGGGTGAGGTATATGAACTAGTTCCCACGATTTTCCAGCCCTTTTCGATGATCTGACAATAAAATGTTTCTTATTGACGTTGAGGGGGTTGGGGGTTCAAATGACAACCCTCAATCTATCCCAACAATTATTTAAATGTTTATTTCGCGGGTGTGGGGGTGTAGCCACACGTAGGTAATATTGTTCACAAACTAGCTTCGCAACGCGACGACGTCTTTACTAGACTCGGGCGTCGATAACCGACTGGGAGCTTTCTTTTAACGTCCCTTCAATATACAGGGTGTTCGGTTACCTATGGCAAAAATTTTAATGAGTGATAGTAGAGACCAAAATAAGACGAAAATCAAGAATACTAATTTGTTGATGGAGGCTTCGTTGCAAAGTTATTAACATTTAAAGTTCCGCCTGTAGAATGACAACCCGCTAAACAGCTGCGTTCGTGCGGACGGTTGCAGCAGGCCAGAGCTAGTGGTTCTCATGCAGCATGAAAAATTCTACTTACTGACATTATCGATGGCCTTACATTTTTGTCCATTTATGGGAATGCGAACACCTTACGTTGAATAAGATTCAACCTGTCTTATGAAAATCCAAAAGGGCATATCAAAACTCGCCCGACGAGATTTTCACGGAGAAAGGGTGAATGCCAGTTCCAATACACAGTATTGTGAACAAAAATCACCCACACGCGATTATACACGCCCCACGATTGTCCACAATGTTCGCAAGTATCCACAAATAATCCTTTCGGGCATTAACTACTATGCAATTAAATAAACACGCACCGCGATTATGTTATTCGTGAGTGTCTATGTGTACGTGTATCACGATTCTTCCGAGTTACTTACGAATAAAACTGTTATTAATTTTTCAAATACACTTCAATTTAAAAATGTAAACAGGAATTTAATAAGTATTCGCTGATTGTTTATATCACTGTATTTCTTACATGCTACTTAATACATAACTGTATCAAATATGTCTAAAATGTGTCGCATGAACTAGCTTGACTGATACTGTTTTACGACTGACTAACTGGCCGAACACATGCCGATGCTGCCCTTTGTTTCCGCTGTGTGTGAGAGAGATAAGCGAGGCGAGTGACGTAGAATCGGAGTCCTGTTCAGCATTTGTTTCTCTGAACCTCGTCGATCGATGGCACAGTCAGCTGCTAGTATTGTTACATTCTTCGACGTGAACGTAAATCGATGCGAAAATTTCATTTATCCTGCGATTCCTGTTTACATTTTTAAATTGAAGTGTATTTGAAAAATTAATAACAGTTTTATTCGTAAGTAACTCGGAAGAATCGTGACACACGTACACGTAGACATTCACGAATAACATAATCGCGGTGCGTGTTTATTTATTTGCATAGTGGTTAGTGCCTGAAAGGATTATTTGTGGATACTTGTGGACACTGTGAACAATCGTGGGGCGTGTATAATCGCGTGTGGGTAATTTTTGTTCACAATGTTGGGATAGGTTGTTGTAGGAGAACACTTTTAGTGGGGTGACAAAAACTTTCTTTATTTTTCCGTTGTTTTCGGTTAGAGCGCGCAAAACCAAGTGTAGTTATTCTTCGCTCGTTTCCATGTCGACCCCTAGGTCGCACTGGCAAAATTGTTAAACAACCCTGATTTGTTAACCCTACGCGTTGGGCCTTTCCAATCAGGGCCGTTTATTTTTCCCAAATCACCGCCTATTTCTTACGCCCACGGCGTGCTTGTTTTCGAAACGGCGTGGTGATTGAGGGGGACGACGTTGCGCCCTCACTGCAAGATTTCCTTCGGACCACCCGCGCTGGGCCCACTTGGCGAAACTCCGATGGGTACGCGTCGAGTGTCCTCCACAAATCCCTAATTTACGACGGTCTCTATTTGCTGTTGAGGGACTTAGGAAAAGAATTTACTAAACGCATTCGATACGCGAGTCTGGAAAATATCTTCCTCAAAAACAGCTTCGACGAACGAGAGTCGTAAATTAGGTGGGCCGTTTGCACGAGAGAAAAACTTTCCCATGTGCGCACGACCGGCCGCTACAACAACATTGTGTATTGGAACTGGCATTCACCCTTTCTCTGAGAAAATCTCGTCGGGCGAGTTTTGGTATGCCCTCCTGGATTTTCATAAGACAGGTTGAATCTTATTCAACGTAAGGTGTTCGCATTCCCATAAGTGGACAAAAATGTAAGGCTGTCGATAATGTCGTTAAGTAGAATTTTTCATGCTGCGTGAGAACCACTAGCACTGGCCTGCTGCAACCGTCCGCGCGAACGCAGCTGTTTAGCAGGTTGTCATTCTACAGGCGGAACTTTAAATGTTAAAACATTGCAACGAAGCCTCCATCAACAAATTAGTATTCCTGATTTTCGTCTTATTTTGGCTTCTACTATCGCTCATCAAAATTTTTACTATAGGTAGCCGAACACTATATTGTAAATATATCTATGTTTGTTATGTAGAAATCTATACAGAAATAACGCCTTCCTAAGTATTAAACAACATAATGTTGCTGGGATTCAGCCTGGAAAACGTTTCATAGTTAAAATCGTACATTTAAAAAAATCGTTTAACAAGTTGCTTAAATTAAGTCTTAGTATGTTGTTGGGTTCCTCCGACTACGTTCTACCCCACACAATCTATGTATTATATTTGGCATCGATTTTACCAATTTTTCAGCAAAGCTGGGTGTTTTTGCGACACTCCGCGGTGAGACACGAACCGTGGCAACTCGCGCTTACAAGGGTCGTAACTCCTTGATTCCGTTTGTACGACACCGCGTTGTTATCGTACCCTACCACGTACTACCGAGGAAGGGATATTGGAAAATGAAGTTGATCGAATTAACAGTTAACTATCTAATTGACAAGAATTTGGAGTTGTGTGTGTTAAAGTTAGACTGTGATTTACGGTGAACGTTTTGATGCGACTTGGATAGGCGCTCGAAGATGTCTGTCCTCTCTTTTTCTGTCCCGACGCGACGTAGCATTTTGTTTAAATTCGGAAAATTAGGGGATGATTTTCGTCTAATTGGTGCCTCCTTCCAACCAATTGAATGACAGATCCCCGGACACTCACCCATTCCGTGCGCTCGAAACGCAGTCCGTGCGGAGTGTGTTGTGTCCACCGGGGGGGGGGTTGGAAGAAGTGAAGAGGTTTTTCGCAGCAGGGAAAACTCCGTCGGGCTTGGGGCCCGAGACGTGACCCAAACAATGGCCATTAGATTCGGCCTCGGGCCACTTTGGAAGTTTATTTTTATGATCCCTGCTGTTAGCCGTCGAGGACGGGAGAATGTTAAGGGCTGCAATTTCGATAACAAAAAGGAAGAAACGAACTTTAGAAATGAGGAAAATTATGACGTGACCGAATGCTACGGTTTATGAGTCGCGACGGTTACGCGACGAAACATCCTCCCCCCGTTGAGAGGACACCGATCGAGATAGAAGTGTGCTGTTGTGTGTAGATGTGATTATACATTAATATGTGTTTATGAAATAATATTATGCTGTGGCCTCCGTGGTTTTTTCCCCCTCTGTGCTGATGGAGTCCTCCTTGGATGTTGGATGATTTCACTCGGCATCCAGGGGTTGATTGGGCAATGGTACTAATTTTTTGACGCTTCGGTCAAGTACACTCGCGCTCGTTTTCACCGTAGCCGCACGAACGACACCATCGGAACCAGGGTGGATCTTGATTACTTGACCTAGAGGCCAATGTGTTGGGGGTACGTTGTCCTCCTTGAGAAGGACGATGGCTTCCTTGATAAAATGGTTACCCTTTTTCCATTTGCTACGGCTTGTCAGTTCGTTGAGGTACTCCCGGCGCCAGCGGGTCCAGAAGTGTTGCTTTATCTGCTGGATATGTTTCCAGCTAGATAAGCGATTTGGAGGTACATCTCTATAATCCCGTTCCTGTAAACTCGTTAGTGAATCGCCAATGAGGAAATGGCCGGGTGAAAGGACGAGGAGATCGTTTAGATCGGATGAAATGGGAGTGAGTGGACGGGAGTTGAGAATGGATTCTATTTCTATAATGAGGGTGTTGAAATCTTCGAATGTAAATAGCTCATTTCCAACAACGCGGTTAAGATGGTATTTGAAAGATTTCACTGCGGCCTCCCAAAGCCCGCCAAAGTGAGGCGTGTGCGGTGGAATGAAATGCCATTCTATTGCTCGGTTATTGAGAAATGACTGTACCTTGTCCTGGTGATCCTTCGAGTTTATGAGTTCACGAAGTTCTCGTAACTCATTGTTATCGCCTACAAAATTTGTACCGTTGTCCAAATACAGGTTTGTGCAGAACTCTCGCCGAGCTACGAACCGTCTTAGAGCTGCAATAAATGCTTCGATCGTGAGATCGCTCACTAACTCCAGGTGAACTGCCTTAACTGCGAAACATACGAAAACGGCAACGTATGTTTTAATGCGGTTGCGATTTCGGTGGCGTTTTTCCTTTATATAGAATGGCCCGCAATAATCCACTCCAACGTTAGTGAACGGACGAGTTTCGGTTACCCTAGCTGCAGGCAAATTCCCCATTATGTACTCGACCGGCGGTGGTCGAACTCTGCAGCAGCGTACGCAATCCTTTATGACCCTCCATACCTGGCTACGTCCATCGATGGGCCAGTAGCGGTTCCTGACCGCGTAGAGCGTGGCTTGAGTTCCCGCATGCTCGTTTCTGATTATGAGTGCGGTGATTGATGATTTCGGTAAGATGATTGGGTGTCTCTGAGTAAATAGCATTGCTGAATGTAGTAAGCGTCCTCCTACTCGCAGGATCCCATCCTTGTCGATGAATGGATTCAATTTTTGAAGTTTACGTGTGATACCTGAGAGTTTTTCTTTATGGATAGATTGCAGTTCGCCGGCGAAGTGCTGTTGCTGTAATAATTTGATTAATCTACTGCGCGCATATAGTAGTTCTGGTGTGGTGAGTGTTCCCTTCGTGCATTGTTTTGGTCTCCACCGCAAGCATCTGGCGACAACGCGCACAAGTTTATTCCACGAGGAATACTTTTCGAAGATGCTGGAATCCATGGTGTTTGTAACTAAACAGATGACTCTCTTCTGATCGGGTATATCATTGATGGCCGGGTTGTCCCACGTTGGCCAGAGTGTTTGATTTTTTGTTAGCCACGATGGACCATGATGCCAGATGGATGGCTGAAGAAATTCCTCTGCCGTCTGTCCTCGCGAGATAATGTCCGCAGGATTATCCGTGGTTCTAACGTGGCGCCAATTGGTGATGCTAGTTTTCTGCTGAATTTCTGATACTCTATTGGCGACGAAAGTTTTTAAGGTATTTGGAGGCGTATTGAGCCAATGGAGGGCTATCGTTGAATCGGTCCAGTAGAAGCTGTGATTGATTGGGATATGGAAAGCTTGTTCGACGGTCTTGGCTAGTGATACGAGTAGCAGGGCTCCGCACAGTTCCAGACGAGGGATTGTCTGTTGTTTCAATGGAGCTACCCTTGATTTCGCGATCAAGAGATCGTGTTTGTCGATGGACCGTAAATACACGCAGGCTCCGTACGCCTTTTCGCTGGCGTCGCAAAAGCCATGTAGCTCGAGTTTTTCTGCTGACTCGATGATGGCCTTTCGTGGGAACGTGACGTTGTTCAAGAGTGGTAGTTGTAAATAATATCTCTCCCATTCATTGTGGATGCTTGCTGGTAGAGATTCGTCCCAGTCTAGTTTAATGGACCAGATTTTTTTAAGTAAAATCTTCGCGGTGATGATAACCGGTCCCAGAAGACCTAGTGGGTCGTAGATTTTCGCTATTTCTGAGCTTATCGTCCGCTTTGTGATGCGTCTGGTAGGTGTGGTTATCTTGACTGCGTAGTGAATGGAGTCGTTGGTGGAGTTCCAGAATATTCCAAGTGTTTTGAGGGTTGAGGATTCTCCGATCTCCAGGTTGCGATTCAGGTCCTGTTCTGCCAGACCATGTAACAGATCCCTGCCATTCGAGGCCCATTGTCTAATATTTAGACCGGCTCGTTTTAGCACGAGGGTTAATTCTTCCCTTAGCCTCAAGGCTTCTTCTTTTGTTGAGGCCCCGGTTAACGTGTCGTCCACGTAAAAGTCCCGTTGAATAATTTTCGCTGCGTTGGGGTAACGGTGTTCTTCGCCTTCGGCTAATTTATTGAGGCAACGGATGGCTAGGTATGGGGCGGGTGATAACCCGAATGTAATGGTATTGAGTTCGTATGTTTTTACCTGTCCATCGGCGTCGCGCCACAGGACCCTTTGATATTTCTTGTCCTCCGGGCGGACAAGAAATTGTCTATACATTTTTTCAATGTCACCCGTGATTACGTATCGGTGAATACGACTCTTAGCTTTGTCGTCCGGCTGGTAGCTTTTATGACTCCATGATGTGGTAAATAATATCCGTGATGATCGACGTTGTCTGCCGTGACTTCAGACATGTGTCCGAGATCCAAATATTCTTGTATAACCGCACGGTATTGTTGCTGGAGTGATTGGTTTTGTTGCAGCTTTCGTTCTAATGAAATCAGTCGTTTCATCGCTTGTTGTTTCGATTCTCCAAGTTTGGCAATAATCTCACTGAAGGGTAGTGCGACGGTGTATCTTCCTTCTTGATTACGCGTGACGTTGGCACGGAAGTGTTCTTCGCAGATTTTCTCTGATTCGGACAGATGCTGGACTTGCGGTCCCTCTTCGATTTCCCAGAATCGTGTGAGATCGTGTTGGAGATCAGCGATGTTAGTGTGGTAAGCGGTAGTTGGAGTTGGAGGTGAGTGTGGGACACTCCCCCCGATTACCCATCCAAACCTTGTTTTTTGTAAGTACAAGGCTTAACTCTCGGATGGAGTCACATCAATTTGTCCCACACATAACAATGAAAGCGCTGTCTCTGCACCTAATACTAAATCAATTGGCGCTGGTTGATGGAATTCTGGATCGGCCAGCCTGATGTTCCTGGGTAAGTTAATTGCGCGGCGATCAACCGGTTGATCGGGAATAGGCGAAGATATTTTTGGGATTGTTAAAAACGTTAATGTCCGTTCGTACGTGTTAATCCTAGATTGTATAGTAGCTACGACTGCGTGTTTCGATACAGTCGATAGTGTGTTGAGAGCTCCGACGGGGATGGCACAGTTTATTTTCCGAAGACCAAACCGGTTTGCCAATTCTTCGGTGATAAAATTTGTTGTTGCGCATGTGTCGATCAATGTTCGACATTGCGCCGGCTGTTGTTTGCGATTTAAAATGTTAATTTTTGCCGTAACCAGAAGGTCATTTGTTATAGTATTAATAATGAATGTGCCTTGAATGCCCGATCCCGTTGGAGTCTCTGACTGCCCTAGTCAATCCGACGTCGATGGTTGATACCTGGCCGGAGGGTTCCCTATTGTTGGAGGATTAGAATGCGGCGGCGTATTGTTTAGTAGCTGTTGCGCGGGCCATGCCCTGTGTAATAGCATGTGATGTTTTTTGTTGCAAACCCGACATGATCCTGATGGGCATGAATCAATCGGATGGTTTTTCCGTAAACAGTTCGGACAAAGAGCTGCTTGTTCGATAATTTTTATTCGTTCGTGGACTGGTTGTGCTCGTAAAGTTGGGCAATATCGCATTTCGTGGAACTCGTTGCAGATTGGGCATTGAGGTGCCTGGACTGAAATAAATGCGTGACTTCGCGGTGCTGCGAATTTGGTGTTCCTATTGTACTCGTAGGATCTTCCTGATGCTGCGGGTGGAGGCTTTGAGACCGCGGCTGGAGCGCAGTTTGCTCGTTTCTCCAAAAATTCCAAAAGGCCAGTATAAGCTGGCATCTTCTTGTCCTTTAATGTTAACTCCCAGTGCCACGCTGTGTCCGTGTTTATTTTGGACAGAATTATCGATACGAGCAGGCTGTTCCACGACGCGATGTTTTCGCCGAGATTTTTTAACGCCCGGAGATGTTGGTTCATTGTGTCGACGAGATTGCCTAGTGCTTCTGGCGAGTCCCTTGTCAATTTCGGAATGCCCCGAATTGCGTCGCAATGGCTTAATAAAATTCGTCGCGTGCAGTCGAATTTTCCCTTCAATAACTCTAACGCGTCCGCGTAATTGGCGTCCGTGATGCTGAGGGATTGTATACATGCAGCGGCCTTTCCCGTCAATGTCGATCGTAAGTATTGTAATTTTTGAACCGGCGCACAGTGGTCCCAAATCGTGAAAACGTGGCCAAAACCCCAAAAAATAATTTTTCGTTATGGAGGTTTTACCTGTTGGAATCGGCAGTTTAAGGATGTCTCTTTAGGGTAGGGAAAATGAAATGAGTCATATTTTTATACCTGGATGGCAATTGCGATCCAAACTTTGGCTTCGTTAGTCAGTCGTTTGTCGAGAGCGTAAGCGTCAGTGCATACCGTAAAGTGAAAAGTGTACAAGTTTTTTTAGAAGACATCAATTTCAATTCTGCAAAATGGATGCTGTTCCTGGAAGTATGTAGAACATTTCTGAGTACTAACATATTAAAAATTGTTATCCATTAAGTTTTTAAACCGGTACATTCATTACTGAAAATAAAATGTAAAATTTCATGCATGCATCGCAAACAAGTAGACAAAAAGTTGCTTATTCCACAATATCCCACTGCCATATTTGTTCAGGCTTGTATGTGATACTTTCACCTTGCAGAATTTGCAAGAATTAGCTGCAAGTTTTTGCAAGTAAAGTCGTACCACCCTATTTTATAATGGAGGGTGACCACGTTACTAAATCACGCGGTTTTTTCTTGGAAACTGTGGCAGATACAACAAATTTTTTAAAATAAATAATGTATAATTTTGGGTGGACTTATTATTAGATTTAATAAATTTTTAAATTAATGCATAAATAATTTTTCATTATTAAATATTGTATATTTTTCAATGAACCAGTTGATCTACTTCATTATTGACTATAAATCTGCATTAAACTATTTACATGAAAAATTGTTTATTTCGAAAATAGTTAATAAAATTTGAGAATTCCAAACTAAAACATTTTTTCGCATTTGCCATGTAAAAGCACTAAGAATCAAATAATATGAAGGCACTGCTGTAAGCTGTAAATTGTGCCTTATACCTGCTTGACTTTATGACAGACATAAAACATTTGTGCGGTATTGCCTTTCGTTTTCTCCTCCTTTCATTTTCATTTAGATTTTTTACTTATACAGGGTATTCGGCCACGCCTGGGAAAAATTTTAATGGGAGATTCTAGAGGCCAAAATAAGACGAAAATCAAGAGTATCAATTTCTTCACTGAGGTTTCGTTAAAAAGTTACTAACAATTAAATTCAAAAATTTTAAATCGTTCTGGAAAAATTATTTTCGGTTGCGGGGGTTAACTACAATCATTTTTGGTGAGTACACATACCTCCGAAATCCTATCTATTTTCGAGAAAAAAAATTGAGTAGGTGCTGAAATTTTTCGGCGAAAAAAAATTTTTCAAATCGTTTTAAAAAAATTATTTTCGGTTGCGGGGATCAATTACAATCATTTTTTATCATTACACATACCTCCGAAATCGTACGCACTTTCGAGAAAAAAATTCCTTACTGAAAATCCAATTAGGTGCCTAAATTTTTCAACGGAGAAAAAAAATTGCAAATCGTTGTGGAAAAATTATTTTCGGTTGCGGGGGTCAATTACAATCAGTTTTTGTCATTAGACATACCCACGAAATCCTGCCCACTTTCGAGAAAAAAAATAGAGAAGGTGTGAAATTATTCGAGAAAATTAAAAAATTGCAAATCGTTGTGGAAAAATTATTTTCGGTTGTAGGGTTCAATTGCAGTCATTTTTGGTGAATAGACATACCCCCGAAATCTTGCGCATTTTCGAGAAAAAAATTCAGTAAGAGCGGCACTTTAAATTTTTTAATTATGACTTTTGATTCGTAATCAGCAACCTCGATAGTAACTATGTATCAAATTTCAGGTAATTCCGACATTTCTTTCGCATATGTGTGAGCTATATCGGAGCCGCCATTTTGTTTTTTTTAATTATGACTTTTGATTCGTAATCAGCAACCTCGATAGTAACTATGTATCAAATTTCAGGTGATTCCGACATTTCTTTCGCATATGTGTGAGCTATATCGGAGCCGCCATTTTGTTTTTTGTAATTATGACTTTTGATTCGTAATCAGCGACCTCGATAACCCCTACCTACAAATTTTTAGCTAAATTGAAGAACTCCTTCATATTATGGCCAACTTTTCGGCATTTGGGACCACTGTGCGGCGTGAGATCGTCGTTGCGATCGATCATTGAGCAAAATATATCGAAGTACGAGGGCCAATTATCGATTGTACCGTCGAAGGTTGGCAGTCGCATTTCTGGCAGTTTTATGGTCATAGGGGCCGTCGCGGAGGGTGCGGCTGATTCGACTGTGGCCCGTTGTGACAGCGTAGTACTGTTCTTGAATTTCATAACGACGTGGGGCTTCTGTTTCGTCTACTTCTTCGATCTCGAATTGGATATCGTGGAACCGCGCCCAGGTATCGTTTAACCCGTTCAAGTGGGTTTGTATCAGCAGAACGTTCGGTCGTTCTGACTGTTCGTGAATCTCAAGAAATTTCGTGAAGGCGGTAATTTGTCCGATGATGTTACCGCGTTTGCGCCGTAGCGAGCTGAGATTTATTCCGTGCGAGGCGGAATGAGATTGAGTTTGATCTACCGATTTGTTTGGCATCGTGACTTGTGCTAGGGAAGGTTGACGGGAATTGGCGAAACAAAAACGAGCTTACCTTTGTTGCGCAGTCTGGATGCTGCGTTTAGCGGTCCTGTTGATTGACCCTTAATCTTTGATTGACCCTTGGATTCCCTTGGAAGATGGGCACTGTTGTGCCCGAATAATGATCCTTCGCTTGTTGCGAAGGATTCACGCAGAAGGTTGCATGTGGTTGTTAGTGTCTTTAAACGTTTGTTACACTCAATGCTTGTATATGTATACTGTTCGTCACACTTACAAGGAACCATCGCGAACGGTCCGGCTTCGATTTTGATGAAACTTTGTACACTTATAAAGCAGCCAAAAATAATCCACACGTATTTTTTTTTAGCTGCGGTAACTCGAGTTTAAGGGGTGAAACCACCCCTTGAAATTTTGGCTCAAAACGGCTATCTCGAAAACGGAAAGAGATACAAAAAAATTGTTAACGGGCGAGGTTAATGGTTTCTTATGTACAATAACATGGTGTTAAAAAATTTAAAAAAATACAATTTGTTTATAACAAAAAAAAATTTATTAACTTAATTTTTCATTTTATTGAAATTTTCATAATGACAAAA